TTTTGTTACCATCCTTGCCATAATATAATAAAGCTGCCCTTCATCACAAAAAAAAGTAAGGTATTTATTCCTTTATTTAGGAACATTAACGTATTATATATTTTTTTGTACAATGAAACCAATTAGGTATATATGCTGGTCTTCCTGAAACTCTGAAAAAGAGCTTGCAAATTCCTCTCTGCATTTGTTCTTTACAGGAATTTAGTCTGCCTCAAATCCTGAGTGGTGACTTAAGGAACAGTCGCTTGCCATTCTGTGTAAATTAGTTTAAAATTACTTTTTAAATGCCCCCCAAATATTGATTTTAGAAGTCCTTGATTTTTCAGAAGCATAATTTACCCTTTTGGAAGTTTCAAATCAATCTCAAAAAATGTAAAATTATTTATTATACATTATAGAAGCCTTATTTATTATACAAAAGATGCCAACACCTGGTGTTTTACTTTCTATTAGTTCTAAAACAAAGAAACTAATTTACTCTGAGGACTGAGACAGTGATGCCATACAATATCAGCACTCATCTTTTTTCTTGCAGTCTCTTTAAAGCACTAAATATTTTTCAAAATTAAATAAACTATGAAGGCCTCAAAGTTTGATGAGAAATTTAGTGAGAACATTGATCTCTTTTTTGCGTGTGTGTGCCAAATGGGAGACCTTTTAAAACTGACTCTGACTTTTGAGTGTGAAAGTACTTGGAGTTGGTTTTTAAAAGTTTCATAGGGTAGAAACTAACACAACATTGTAAAGCAACTACAATAAAAATTTTAAAAAAGTTTCATGGGAATTACATCCCCAGTATTTGTATGTTGAGTTAGGCCTCTCTCTTTTCAGATATCCAGTGGTAGCTAGATTACTTCTAACTTCTGACCATGATCACCTGGAGCAAAGTGTGATACATTAACTTTCTTAAGGCTCCAGGAAACCATTTGTTAGGTTATAATTCATGGGAAGTAAATAACACCCTGAAATATGTAAGAATTAATTCATTTCACATGCACAAGCAGTAGTGTCTCAGGAATGATCATCATTGCTTGGTTCAATATAGGAGCAAGATCTTGTGGAATAGTCTTGGTCTTGAAGCACTATCCCAATAATTTATTTAAAAAGTGTTACTCTACAAATAGAAGTCTAAGTTATGCCAATTATTAGAAGCTCTGTCTAAGGTAGGCCCATCAATCAAGTGTTGAACATTGAGAAAAAAGAGGGCATAAGTGTAAAAGTACAGATAACACCTTAACAGTATAAGCATGAATCTGTGTCATCAGTAACACTGTTAAAAGCACCAATCTATGTAACCAATCTGTTCTTAATTATTTCTTCATAGGATGAGATTTAATAAAAATGGCTTATTCTGTAATAATTCATTTCTCTCGTAAATACTGAAAAGAGAATTGGAAAGCAAACAAGTGGAGAGATATAATCCATAGGTTATGAACTCATTAATTCTGCAAGTAATCATGGAATGCTAATTATATTCCAAGTTTTGTCATAGGTGCTGGGAACACCTGTATCATCTATAATCAGTCATTTATTGATACATTTCTAACTATTCCCTTAAGTTAGGCTATTTATTTATAGGTTAGATGGTATTCACTCCATTCCTAAGTATTCCCTTAAAGAAAAAAGTAATTATTACTTTTTTCACTCGGCTAAAAATATCACTTACACATGTAACATCTTATTTTTCCCCTTAACAATAGGTTCAACCAGAAAAGCACCAGGATGCTTGAAACTTCCTATACAGAAAATCCTCCCCAAATAACTTTTTCTATGATGCTTGCAATCACACACACACAAAAATGTTCTTAATTTTCTTCTCCCTGGGCACATTTAAAACTTGTACAAGTGACTATCTTGAAAAGCTGAAAAAAGGAGTATGAAAAACAAAAAACAAAACCTTAGTACTAAACACTCCACTATTAAGTTGATCATTGATAGTATAGTTTTACTAATCATCTAGAAAATGAATAATAACCTATTTTAATGCTTTGTCACTGATTTAAGCTGTTCAGTTGTTTTGCTCCCCCTTGGAAGCCTTAATTATTAGAATTGTATTAAATGTAGCTAGAAATGAAAAGTACAAGATTGAACAACTACCCAGGTGTTTGTGTTTAAATAGAGATTACCTTTCCTTTATATTTTCCCCCTGATTATATTTATATTTTCCACCTGAATTTACAGAGTTCTTTTGACTGATTTGCAGGGTCCTAACATGTATGTTTTATCTGTACTTAGCCACATTTTAATTAATCCTTTTCTTTATACTGACTAGCTTTTTGAAAACAGTAATAATTTAAATTCTTAAATAATTTCCCAAAATGTATTAAATGCTTATACTTGTGGATTTTTACCTTCTAGAAATATTTTGCGATTTATTCTGAATCAAAGCATTTGTAAAGGTCTTAACACTGACACTTCAGGTTTACAAATTTAAATGAAAACTGGCAATGGGGGAAAAGGAATAGAGAATACATATGGTAAATAATTACCAATGTAAGTATTTTAAATTTTATTTGAAGTTGCTTCATTTTCATATATCTTAATGATCACAATGATGTAAAGCAAGTAGACTCATAAAATATGAAAAATTATATCCTGTTATTTTTCTTTTGTATTTAAATGAAGAATATATCATTAACACTTTTCAAATTTTAGATACATATATATCAATATGATGTGCATTTTTATTTTTCTAGTAGATTTAAGCTTTTACATGCTCTAGATATTTTTTATCAAGCTCCTATAACTCATACTGTTTTTAAGCAAGGATGTTCATCACAGCATTGTTTACAAATGTAGAAACATTGAAAAGCATGTAAATCTCATTCAATAATGAACTACTTAAGGTAAGTTATAGTACATCCACCCAATGGAATACTATGCAGTCACTAATTGATGATACAGATTGGTATTTATTGATATGAAAAGATGATTAAGTTTTAGTTTAAAATAAAAAAACAGTACATATAGTATGTTTTCTTTTTTTTTGTAAAACAGTGTGTGTATACATAGGGGAAAAGGCATGAAAGGATATGCACACACTTAAAATATTAATGTACACACAAAATATTAATAGTGGTTATCTCTGAACTCTGGGAATTTTAATTCCTTCTTTATAAGTTTCTGCATTGTTGTACATTATTTTACAAGAAGCATGTATTATGTTTATAATCAATAAAAACAGTAATTTCCATTTGAAAATATTTGAAAATGAATATACAAGTCATTTGTAGATAAAGAATTACATAGAAACAGGTTATTCTCATTATTTTATGGGGAAATAGCCAAAAAAAGTGTTAATAAAATTATATATTTATATTATGTATGAAACCAAAGATTTCTATATAAATAAAAACCAAGAATAGAGTTAAAACATTTTCTTACTGTTGGATCTGTGGTATGAGTGAATCCTATTTTTAAAAAGTAATTATTTCAATTTTACATAAATTAGGTATTTATCTCTCTAATCCCAGAATGGATTCGAACTGGCATATATTAAAAGACAGGCAATCCAAAGAAGATATGAAAGCAAGTGTAATATGGATGGAAGGTAGATGGATATGGAGAAGAGGGAACTAAAAGTGAAACACAGAAAGTCCATAGTATAGAAATTACAGGCTAAATAATGTAATTGCAATATAGAACAGAACATTTTGTCTCAACTTCCAAGCAGCTAGACAAAAAGAAAACAAAAAGAAAACAATTAAGAGCTCTCATATGATAGATGGAGGCATGTGACTTAATCAAGAGAGATGACATTTTCCTTAACTTTGAAACATCTGTGAATATTACCTTATTGATATATTCAACAATTTATAAGAGATAATGACAAGTTTAATAGAAGATGTTATTCAAAGTAGTTTTCAACATCATTACAGGATTGTTTACCTTCTATATTGACACAACAGAGGCTGAAGTTAATCCTAAAGTTATTTATAGACAAAGGCAATTCAGGGCTGTTATTCACCTTTCTTGTTGATTAAACATGATCCATGTATACCTACTAAGGAGTTTAGAAAAATGAGTGATAAGAATGCTCCTTAGGGCTTCCCTGGTGGCGCAGTGGCTGAGAGTCCACCTGCCGATGCAGGGGACACGGGTTCATGCCCCAGTCCGGGAAGATCCCACATGCCGTGGAGCAGCTGGGCCCATGAGCCATGGCCGCTGAGCCTGCATGTCCGGAGCCTGTGCTCCACAACGGGAGAGGCCACAACAGTGAGAGGCCTGCATACCGCAAAAAA